AGGCAGTCGGAGCGCGAGAGCGGGAGCCCCACTGCGGGAAGGGGGGTTGTCCTCGGGGCCGCCTCCGCGCCCCTGAAGGCAGTCGGAGCGCGAGAGCGGGGGCCCCACTGCGGGAAAGGGGGTTGTCCTCGGGGCCGCCCCCGCGCCCCTGAAGGCAGTCGGGGCGCGAGAGCGGGAGCCCCACTGCGGGAAGGGGGGTTGTCCTCGGGGCCGCCTCCGCGCCCCTGAAGGCAGTCGGAGCGCGAGAGCGGGAACCCCACTGCGGGAAGGGGGGTTGTCCTCGGGGCCGCCTCCGCGCCCCTGAAGGCAGTCGGAGCGCGAGAGCGGGAGCCCCACTGCGGGAAGGGGGGTTGTCCTCGGGGCCGCCTCCGCGCCTCTGAAGGCAGTCGGAGCGCGAGAGCGGGAGCCCCACTGCGGGAAGGGGGGTTGTCCTCGGGGCCGCCTCACGCCCCTGAAGGCAGTCGGAGCGCCGAAGCGGGAAGCCCCACTGCGGAAGGGGGTTGTCCTCGGGCCCGCCCTCCGCGCCCTGAAGGCAGTCCGGAGCTCGAGAGCGGGAGCCCCCACTCGGGAAGTGGGGTTGTCCTCGGGGCCGCCTCCGCGCCCCTGAAGGCAGTCGGAGCGCGAGAGCGGGAGCCCCACTGCGGGAAGGGGGGTTGTCCTCGGGGCCGCCTCCGCGCCCCTGAAGGCAGTCGGAGCGCGAGAGCGGGAGCCCCACTGCGGGAAGGGGGGTTATCCTCGGGGCCGCCTCCGCGCCCCTGAAGGCAGTCGGAGCGCAAGAGCGGGAACCCCACTGCGGGAAGGGGGGTTGTCCTCGGGGCCGCCTCCGCGCCCCTGAAGGCAGTCGGAGCGCGAGAGCGGGAGCCCCACTGCGGGAAGGGGGGTTGTCCTCGGGGCCGCCTCCGCGCCCCTGAAGGCAGTCGGAGCGGGAGCCCCACTGCGGGAAGGGGGGTTGTCCTCGGGGCCGCCTCCGCGCCCCTGAAGGCAGTCGGAGCGCGAGAGCGGGAGCCCCACTGCGGGAAGGGGGGTTGTCCTCGGGGCCGCCTCCGCGCCCCATGAGTCCGGATTGGGGAGGAAACGGGGTGCACCAGGGCGGCGCGCCGTCCGCCCCAACGGGTGATTCTTTGGCACCCCGTCCTCTGGCATCGTCAGCCCATACAGGGCAGTTTTGAATACATAGGTTCTTGTGGAAATAATAACAGACTTTCATACATGGTTAATGCATGAATCAAGTTATGCATGAACTCGTCGTTGTCTTTAATGCTCAATTCCTGCATTTTTGATACATGATCCGCACGCGGAGCATGTATAACAAAACGGCGCTGTAGATGCTGCGTGCGAGAAGCCTGGCAAGCCACTTCCGTCCAGGCGCGGGGGTCCAGGGGCACCGCGGCGGCCCCGGCCGAGCTGCCGTGGCTGGTCCTCCGCCCAGTTGCGCCAGGCCGCCTCTATGCCGTCATGCGGCTTGCGGGCGTGCTGCGCCATACTGTGCGCGATGTCGCAGTCCTCCTTTCCATCCCGTGAGACAGGGCTTGCAGATGGCCCGCGCGGTCTGGCGCGGCCTCGACGGAAGGGAAGACTGCGTTGGAGATGGACACGGAGTGGGGAGACTGCGGTCCATGGCAGATGAAACAGTTTGCGGATTGTGCACGCGGTCTGGAGTGGCCTCCCTGGAAAGGGAGTTGAAGACGAAGTTGGGACCTCCCTGGAGTGGCAGACGGTACTGGATTCGGAGACGGAGTGAGGAGGGGCATGATCTATGATAATGAGAAAACGGGCTTGCAGATGATCCGCGCGGCCTGGCGCGGCCTGCCTGGAAGGGCAGCCTGTCCCGTTGGGACTGGCTGGGAAATGCCAGTAGGAAGCGTACAGGAGGAAGAGGAAAAGAGGGAGAGGAAACAAGGAGGAGGAGGAGGAGGAGGTGGAGGAGGTGGAGGAGGTGGAGGAGGAGGAGGAGGCGGAGGAGGAGGAGGCGGAGGAGGAGGAGGGAAGAGCATGGGATGGTCAGAGAAAGCAGGAGCCCCACTCGAGATGTGGGGTGTCGGCGCCAGAGGGGGCCCGGTGCTTCTCGGGCCGGCGCTCTATGGATCCCCCCCCCCGGCGCGCGCGGAGCACGCCGCGGGGCGGCCTCGCCGTGGGGGCGTGGGGAAGCGGGGCCCAGCGACGACCTCAACAGCTCGGCGCGCACCCGGCAGCACCCCTCCCCCCCTATGTGGGTACACACCCTCCTCCTCCTCCTCCTCCTCCTCCCTCCTCCTCCTCCCTCCCTCCCTCCCTCCCTCCCTCCTCCCTCCCTCCCTCCCTCCCTCCCTCCCTCCCTCCCCCCTCCCTCCCTCCCTCCCTCCCTCCCTCCCTCCTCCCTCCTCCTCCTCCTCCTCCTCCTCCTCCTCCCCTCCTCCTCCTCCTCCACCTCCTCCTAATCCTCCTCCCTCCTCCTCCTCCTCCTCCTCCTAATCTCCTCCTCCTAATCCCTCCTCCTCCTCCTCCTCCTCCTCCTCCTCCTCCTCCCTCCCTCCTCCTCCTCCCTCCCCCCTCCTCCCTCCTCGCTCCTCCCTCCTGGGTCGCCCGACTTCGCGCCCTCGCGCCGCCCCCCTCGCGGACGGGCAGCCGCTCCAGCCCAGACCGCGGCGCGCGCAGCGCGCTCACCTTCGCGCGCGCCCTGCGGGTGACCTGGTGCATGCTTGCGTTAGGTCTGGCATGTCCCCCTGCAGGCGGATTTTGGACGAAGAATTGAAAAAGAGTCAAACCTATGAGCAAAACTGATAAAAAACAAATACTCAACAAAATCGTCCCCAGACTATCTTTTTTTGATTATGATTTGAATATTCCCCCTGTAGAGGGACCGGCCCGACTTCATGCTCGTGCTGCCTCTGCTCCCCGAGGCACCTCCAGGGTCCTGCCGGCGGCCCTGACGGCAATCACGAACTCCGTGTGGTCGCTGTGCTCGGCGCAGTCGGCCACGGAGACGGTGGGCGCCTGCGCGAACGAGTCGTCCACGCATAGGAACCTCCACGCGCGAGGCACGGTGCGGACTAACACGCTTCTCGCCGGCGGTGGCTGCGAGGCGGGGATTTGTCCATATCCACCGCCTGGGAGCCGACGTCCTGGCGCCCCAACGGGCGGTGGATACGGATATAGTTTCGCCCCCGGGGGCCCGAACATATCCATGTCCGCCGCCTGCCGAGGTCCCCGGAAATTGATCCTCCAGGCGGTGGTCATGTATAAACTCCCGCCTCGGAATGCTAGACGCTCATTCTCAGGACCTTCTTGAAGCCACTCGCTCCACTCGTGCGTCGAAGCTGCGTCGAACGTCCGTCGATTTGAGTCGACCCTGAGTCGACCCTGGGTCGAACCAGAGTCGAACCCGAGTCGAACCCGAGTCGAACTTGAGTCGAACTTGGGTCGAACCTGAGCCGAACTAGAGTCGAACAGATCCGTGCAGTAGACCCCAGAAAGGTCCCCCAAACGAGCATCTGAGGAGTGGCGTCGCGTCTGGGTGCGGCCGCAGACGTCACGCCCGGGTCCACCCCGGTTTCGCGCGGCTGGCGCCGCGCGGCGCGGGCCCCGTGGAGAAGTGCAGCTCTCCGGCCGGGCCGCCGAGCGCGGACACCTTCGCCCTTCGTCCTTCGCGCCTCCTCCTCCTCCTCCTCCTCCTCCTCCTCCTCCTCCTCCTCGTCCCTTCTCCTCCTCCTCGTCCTCCTCCTCCTCCTCCTCCTCCTCCTCGTCCCTCCTCCTCCTCCTCCTCCTCGTCCCTCCTCCTCCTCCTCCTCCTCTCGTCCTCCTCCTCCCCCTCGTCCTCCTGCTCCTCTTCTCCTCCTCGTCGTCCTCCCCCCTCCTCCTCCTCCTCCTCCTCCTCCTCCTCCTCCTACTCTCCTCCTCCTCCTCCTCCTCCTCCTCCTCCTCCTCCTCCTCCTCCTCCTCCTCCCTCCTCCCTCCTCCTCCTCCCTCCTCCTCCCTCCTCCCTCCTCCCTCCTCCTCCTCCCTTCCTCCTCCTCCTCCTGCGCACATCAGCGGGAAGACCTCGGGCCACGACTTCTGGGCAGCCCTGGGACGGACGTCCCACGCGGAGGAGCGAGACCTCCCTGCCTTTCGGGGGGGGGGGACGAACGGGGGGGGGACAGCAAAGGGTAGGGTACTGGCCATCGCTCGGACGTCCATTCCCTGTGTTTTTTTTCGGTTTCGTGCGAGGTTTTTTCTCCAAATGATTTCCTCGATGGTCCTCGCCGAAGGAAAAATGCACACGTCCGAGCGATGCCAGGGGTAGAGAATCAGCTCACGTAGCTCATTTCCCCAGCGCCTCCCGGCGCCGGGCGGCGCCCACGTGTCGAGGAATGGGCCCGGCGGCGGGGCCGAAACCAGCTGCATGCAGCAGAGTTCGTACCCCCCCCCCCTTTCTCCTCCTCCTCCTCCTCCTCCTCCTCCTCCGCCTCCTCCTCTTCCTTCTCCTCTCTCCTCCTCCTCCTCCTCTCCTCCTCCTCCTCCTCCTCCTCCTCGTCCTCCTCCTCCTTCTCCTCCTCCTCCTCCGCCTCCTTCTCTCCTCCTCCTCCTCCTCCTCCTCCTCCTCCTCCTCCTCCTCCTCCTCCTCCTCCTCCTCCTCCTCCTCCTCCCTCCCTCCTCCTCCTCCTCCTCCTCCTCCTCCTCCTCCATCCTCCTCCTCCTCCTCCTCCTCCTCCTCCTCCTCCTCCTCCCCTCCTCCTCCTCCTCCCTCCTCCTCCTCCCCTCCTCCTCCTCCTCCTCCTCCTCCTCCTCCTCCTCCTCCTCCTCCTCCTCCTCCTCCTCCTCCTCCTCCTCCTCCTCCTCCTCCTCCTCCTCCTCCTCCTCCTCCTCCTCCCTCCTCCTCTCCTCCTCCCTCCTCCTCCTCCTCCTCCTCCTCCTCCCTCCTCCTCCTCCTCCTCCTCCTCCTCCTCCTCCTCCTCCTCCTCCTCCTCCTCCTCCTCCCCTCCTCCTCCTCCTCCTCCTCCTCCTCCTCCTCCTCCTCCTCCTCCTCCTCCTCCTCCTCCTCCTCCTCCTCCTCCTCCTCCTCCTCCATCCTCCTCCTCCTCCTCCTCCTCCTCCTCCTCCTCCTCCTCCTCCTCCTCCTTTCCCTATCCCACCCTTTCGCTCGGCCCGCTTCTGGGCAGCCCTGGGACGGACGTCCCACGCGGAGGAGCGGGAGCTCCCTGCCTCGACGACGGCCTCGGGCCCTGGGGTCCTGCCGCCGCGCGGGCCGGCCACGCCCCCAGATTGCTCCAGAAGGCTCGGGGCACCATGTGGGACCAGCTCTAAAGCCAGAACATGCCGCAGACAGAGCTGCCCCTCCGTCGGCCTTGCACCGCGCCGAACGCAAGGTCCGCGTTTTCTCTAGACCGATCCGCTCTCCGAGTGTCTCTAACTCTCAGCGTAACGACACCCACTGTGTCCAGAGACGCTCGTGACTAGGAGATGAGAACGGTACTTGGCATAGGTCCCAGATCTTGGTCTTCAAGAGACAGGTAGACTCTGCCATCCAACGGAACACTGCCCGCCCCACCCTTCGTCGAGACCTCGTGGCTTGCGCTCTCCCTGCTGGCCGGGCAGCCCGAAACGGGACCCTGCAAGGCTCCCCACCCTCGATGGAACGCCTCGTGCGGCACAAGCCTGCCGAGGGTTCCGCTTGCCGTAAGTCGGGCGTGCCCCCCTACATGGGGACTTCCGACGAAAAACAAGAAATACACCACAAATATTCAAACAATAGTCCAAAAATGGTCTGGGGACTATTTTTCGCGTATTTGTTTGACATTTAGGGGGCATTTTTAGGGTATTTTTTTTTAATTTCCGTCGAAAATCCCCCTGTAGAGGGGACAGACCCGACATAACGCTTGCCCGGGATCGCTCCCGGACGCCGTCCTGGCCGGCTCGTCGCGCCGCGCCCGGCCGTGGGCCGCGAGGGCCCTCCCCAGACGCCCCCCGAAGTGCTCGATCCTCGACCCTTCTCGCCGTGCGCTCCTCGCGCCCCCTCCTCGGTCCTCGATGCCCGGAGCCTCCTCGGCCCTCGGCGCCGCGCTCCTCCGTGCTCGGGCGCCGCCGCCGCGCTGGAGGCGGCGGAGGTCCCCCGCCGCGCTGCTCGTGTTGTGCCGCGCCCCTCCTCCTCCTCCTCCTCCTCCTCCTCCTCCTCCTCCTCCTCCTCCTCCTCCTCCTCCTCCTCCTCCTCCTCCTCCTCCTCCTCCTCCTCCTCTCCTCCTCCTCCTCCTCTCCTCCTCCTCCTTCCTCCTCCTCCCTCCTCCTCCTCCTCCTCCTCCTCCTCCTCCTCCTCCTCCTCCTCCTCCTCCCATTCGTCGTCCTCCTCCTCCTCCTCCCCGGGGAGCCGGCGGAGGGCGCTCTCTGCGATGGTGAGCAGCGTGGACGGCTCCCCGGTCCTGGCTCGGCAGGGCCGCCAACCCTCCGGCGCTTCTGACGGAGCACCCACCCATGCCTCAACTGGCCATCGCTCGGACGTCCATTCCCTGTGCTTTTTTCGGTTTCGTGCGTGGTTTAGTGTTTTCGCCAAATGATCAAGGATGTTCCTCGATGGTTCTCGCCGAATGAAAAATGCACACGTCCGAGCGATGCCAAGTCAAGGGACCATCGTGCACCTCGGCCGAGAAGAGTGGGCACGGATCAACGGATGGGGAGCCCTGCCCTGCTCCAGCCACTGCTTCGGGGGGCGGGCACCAGAACATCTGGATTCGTCGGCGGGGCACTGGGGTCGCCCTTGAGGGCCTCGGTCTGAAGGTGAAGGGTTCTGGGAGCGTTTACTCTATCCGTGATCAGAATGTGCGCGTGGCGTCTGCAGACGACAAACAAATAACGTCAACCGAGAGCACGCCCTCAGACAGCCGCCCCCGATCCATGCGAGCGTGCTCACTGCAACCGGAAGTCTTCTGCCTATCACCGAACGCGGCGACGCGCCACGCACGTGCGGCACGCAAGCGCTGACGCAGCGCGTATGCGCGCCCGCAAAAATGGCGATCCCGTGCCGCCCGCGAGGCATGCACCCGCGATCTCAAAATCCTCTAGGGCAGCGCGAGCGGCAGCATCGTCCACACCTCTCTGAGGGGGCCCCTGGACACACAACTAAATACACACAAATAAAAACATGCCCCATATTTTCCCATATTCTCTGGATTTCTGTCTTCCCCCCCACTTCCCATATTTCCCCATATTTTCTGGGGGATCGAGGATTCATTGTGTCTGTGTGTTTCTTTTCCTCTTGACTCTCGACGCGGCACGAGGCAGCGGGAGCAGACCGCGCAGCAACCTCGCGCCGCCGTCGGGCCCGGGGAGTCCGCCAGCCGATCGAGACACCCGCGCGCGCAGGAGAGACCTGCCATTCTGTCGGGCGTGTCCCCTCTACAGGGGGATGTTCGACGAAAAATGAAAACATACCCCAGGAATGCCCTTAAGAAGGTCAAGCCATACTCACAAAGATAGTCCCCAGACTATCTCTGGACTATTTTTGGTTATTTTGGGGGTCTTTTTAATTTTTCGTCGTAAATCCCCCTGTAGGGGGACAGGCCCGACTTAAACCTACCAGCAAGCAGCGCGCGGCGAGACTCCCGGGAACCCTTCCCGATGGCCTCCGCCGCCGGGGGGGGGGCGGGGCCTGCCGCCCCGCCCGCAAGGGGAGAGAGCCGAGCCCAGCTGCAACGGGTGAGCTTCGGCGGCGTGGGCCAGCTCCCCGCCAGGCGTTGGAGGCCTAGAAGTTGGCACCCACACCAACACAAGGGGCTGTCTCCACAGGGGGGAGATGACCCTAGATTTCGGTGCTGGTGGTAATATTTCGGTCACCTGGGCAGCCAGAACACTACCACCATCACCGAGATCGGGATCGTCTTCCCTCGGTGGAGCACACCGCCGATCTTGGCGTTGGTGTCAACCTCTAGGCCTGCGAAGGCGTGGGCCCGGCGGGCACGAAGCTCCGGCGCGCGGCGCGCCGAAGCGCACGCAAGACAGCACGCCCGAGATCCGCGTCCCCCGGCCTTCGCCCGCCGGGTCCCTCGCCCCGCGTCCCCGAGGGTCCAGGCTGGCCCGGAAGCGTGACAGCTGATGCAGATCCGCGTGCGCAGACGAGAGCCCTCTCTCCTTGCCAGGGGCCCCGAGAGAGACACAGAGCCCGGCCGCAGAGGGGGGAGTGACGCCGCGCCGCAGCGTAGCTCCCACGCTCCGGGCCAAGCCGAGTGCCCGCCATCCGGCGGCTGACAGATTCAAAAGGGTCGGAAGATCGCGCCTACGCCAGGCCCTGCAGAGGCTTCAAATCCAAGTCCAACGCAGCGAATGAGACCACCGCCCCACCTCCCAGCGAATGCGGTTCGTGTAGCCCGTGATCAGTTGCTGCACCAAGCTGCACGCTTTGAAACCGAACGCTTTACATCGCACGGGAACCTGCGAAATCGGGCTGCAGGGTACATCGGTGCAGGGCCTCTCTCAAACTGAAGTGTGTCGACTGGCCATCGTGAGCCGACGGCCCGAGCTGGGCCAATTGATGAACACTGGCATTGGCCGGATGGGGAAAGGGTGGTGATGGAAGGTATGCTGAGAACGAGGAAAAGAGGCGGGAGGGAGGAGAGAAGCAGCGAGGATGAGAGTCGTCGTCGTCGGCGTCGGCGTCGTCGCCGCCGCCGCCGTCGTGGACAAGGCGCTCGTTCTCGGCTAGGCGTAAGAGCGACCCTGGGTAAGAGTGACCTTTGGTGCGCAGCTTTTGGGGGCGCGAGGGAGCCAAACCCGAGGGCCCGGGGCCGCTTACATCGCATCGCCGCATCGCGCTCGGCGATCGGGGGGAGCCCGATGAGCCCCGCACCAAAGGTCACTCCGGCGAAAGGTCACTCTTACGTCTAGTCGTCGATCGTTCGGGCCGCCCGTCCTCGCTGGGTCGCCGCCCGGCCCGCAGAAGAAGGTCCTGGCGCAAGGGGGGGGGGGGGGGCCCGCTCTCGGGCCGGTCGGGCCGCTACTTGGCCCGGCCGGGAGACGCCGCCGGGGAGGGGTCACACGGCGCGCGGGCCGACGCCGGCGCTGCTGCTGCTCCTCCTGCTGCCACCTGAGTTTGCCCGGGTGCTGGTGGCTCTTGGGCGCTGCTCCACCTGGTCCTCCGGCTCCTTGTCCTCGTCCCTTCTTCCTTTCCTCCTCCTCCTCCCTCCTCCCTCCTCCCTCCTCCTCCTCCTCCTCCTCCTTCTCCTCCTCCTCCTCTGCCCCGCTCCTCTCTGCCATTCTCCTTCCTCTCTCTCTCTCCATTGCCTCCTCCCTTCCCGCTCCTCCTCGTCCTCGTCGTCCTCCTGTTTCTGAGTCTCCTGATTTTCCTAACTCTCCTCCTCCTCCTCCTCCTCCTCCTCCTCCGCTCCTATACTCCTCTCCTCCTCCTCCTCCTCCTCCTCCTCCTCCCTTCGCTTCGCCCTCCTCCTCGTTTTCCCTCTTCTCCTCCGCATCCTTCTCATCCTCTTTCCCCTCGCCCTCCATCCATTATCCCGTTAACCCAACCAACCGTTATCCCGTTTCCTCGTGGTCTAACGATATCTTTTTCAGCCAAAGCCATCTTCCCTTCGGGGAGGTGTGCCCCCTGACCTCCCTGTGCTGTTTGTTTGTTTGTTTGTTTGTTTGTTTGTTTGTTTTTTCGTTTGTTTGTTTGTTTGTTTGTTTGTTTGTTTGTTTGTGTGTATATGTGTGTATGTGTGTGGGGTGGGGGGAGGGGGCACGAGGTGACGGGGGGTCCTTTTTCGCCCAATGTGGCTCCAGCAGGGCATCAGATGCTCCATGATGGCCCCCAAGGCGGCTCAAAATAACAGAAGATAGTTAAAGTCAAGATAGCTTCCGACACGCCTCCAAGAGGCCCGACGAGGGCCACAAGGCGGTTCCAAGTGATCTCGGAGACCCTTTCAGGACCACCGTCAGAGGCCAACCAACACCCTCCTCTCATAATTCTGCTGCACCGTGACCTGCTTGATGATTCTTCTGGGTAATATATGCGCGATGCCCGCCTGAACTGTGGCCCCCTGGGTCGCTATAAGCCTAACGGTGTCATGGCACACAAATTTCACGAACCAGACACGCGCAAGATATCGCCAGCGGGGGTACGAAAGAAACAGCGAAATAAAGGACAGCCGATGGTGTTTGCTTTCTCGCCTTTTCGCTTCCGATGAGCTTTCGGGGCATCAGGATTGCCCCGCTGCGGCCTAAGAGAGCCCCAAGATGGGACCCAGCAGGCCCCTAACACAGCCCAGCATGGCCCCACGAGCGCCCACGATCGGCCCAAGAGCGCCCCAAGGCAGCTCCAACTGGCGATTTTGATGGCCTCAGGTGGGGGGGGAGGCAAATTGAGGGCCCCTCAGTTGAATAGAAGGCCTCCAACACGGCCCCAAGAGGCCCTTCAGGGCTCCCACAGGAGAGCCCCAAGCAAGCCCCAAGAGGGCCCCAAGAGGGCTCCAATGCGGCCCCAAGAGCGCCCAATAGCGCCCTAGGAACATCCCACGAGGGGCCCACAATGCCGCTAGCCCCTCTCCTCCTCCTCCTCCTCCTCCGCCTCCTCCTCCTCCTCCTCCTCCTCCTCCTCCTCCTCCCCTCGCCCCTCCCCCGCTCCCCCCCAAGCAGGCCCCAAGGATGGCCCGAAGAAGCCATCCATTGCCACCCCCTTGGCCCCAGAGATCTTTCTGTTCATCGTGGTTGCCCGCATTGTTTCACGATCTGTGTCCATTCGTCCCTTTTCCCGTCAACTCTCATGGGGCAGGTTCCTGAACGGGCTGGTGGGGATACTTTCGTTTACCGACCGCTGGCGGGCAGCCGCGCGGCGTCCATACGTCAAACGACAGCCAGGCCTACGCAACACAGGGCGGGGCTGGTGGGGATACTTTTTTAAAGCCGACCGCAAGCGGAGGAAGGCCGCGCGGCGTCAGTAGGTCGATCGAAAGCCGGGCCTACGTGGAACAGGGCAGCGCCTAGACTACAGCTGGCTGGTGGGGATGCGTGAAACCTGGGGGATTCTGTGTACCTGCTCCATTCCTGTCGCTCCCCAGGCGTGCCGATAGGGCGGGCCCAGCATTTCGCCTACTGTTTCCTCTAACTCATGGTCCCTCGCCACTTATCGCGATGCAGCACACGCCGTCTTCAAAGCGGAGATCTCGACTCAACGACGCGCGCACTCGCCTCAAACGCCTGTAGCCGTTACAAGGGTGGAGGGCAGGTCATGTTCACCGAGATCTCGCCTAGGCGCCGCTCTTTTTTTCAAACTGGGGTTCTCGCCTCAGGGAAGCGTTCGTTCGCCAACCGAGCATGCAATGCTGGCCCGTCTCGACATGAGGCCCTCGCCGCTGCGGCGAGCACACCCGCCCTGTCAGCATGCAAGAACTACCAGGGTGGAGGGGCTCCCACTTGAGACGTCCTCACACTGTCAATTCTTGCAGCAATTGCACTGGTGGGGAGGATGTTCCACACGAGGGCTTCGCTGGACACCCCGTTCAACTGTGTGATCATTCAATTTTGCGTTCCTGCTTACGCGTTAAGAGGGTAACAGGCACTTCCTTTTCAACACAGGGCTCTGGCCCAATTGGCGTGCCCATGGGGCGTTGTTCTTTCAAGGGCGCCCCGTGCAGTGCAGCAGGCAGCCTTGCATGGACTTGCGAGAAGGGTGCTTGGAACGGGAGGGCGCATTACAGCATCGCTCATGCATCTTGTGCCTATTATGGTCCTCCTCCCTCCCCTCCTCATTTCGCCGCCTCCTCCTCAAAATCCTTCTCCTCTGCCCCACTCGCGTCCTTGCATACGCCCCCCTTCCTCCTCCTCCTCCCCTCCTCCTCCTCCTCCTCCTCCTCCTCCTCCTCCTCCTCCTCCTCCTCCTCCTCCCCTTCCTCCCCTCATGCTACTCCTCCTGCTCGTCTGCGTCGTCATTATCCTTGCCCTCCTCATCTTCCTCGTCATCCCGCTCGTCCTCGTCTAGATCCTTGTCGCGCTCCTGGTACTCATCTCTCATCCTTCTTTTCCTTCCCCTCTTTATCATCCGTCATGCTCCGCCCGTGTAAGCAATTCCTCCTCGTCGCTCTCGCCAGGAACGTCGGCACGGCGGCCCAGACGTCTCGTGTGTGACTTCTAAGCGTGTGGCTCTAAATCTCATACTGTCTTACACCTGCATGAGTGGACGACCAGTCCTTACCACACCCAGGCTCTTCATGCGTAACTTCACACAAGTGCTCTTCCCCCTAACTTGACCATTCCAGCAATTACGCGGGTGGGGAAACCACGCCGTTTCGGAAAACTGGCTCTGGCCAAATATTTCCGTGCAATTCCCATGCTGAATGTATCGCAGGCTTCCGTATTCTCAACAATCACATGGATTGCAGACGAGTCTTCCCTGAACCCTGACAGGTAGGTTCCTGTATTCTCAGCAAGCACATTGATGGCAGACGAGCCTTCCCTGAACCCTGACATGTCTTTAGCCCCCCCCCAATAGGGGGAAGTAGTTATTTTCGGCGGCCTTATTGAAGGACTGGGGTCCCACCACTAGGGGGTAACTATATATTTTGTCCGCGGCATCCGCCGCGCAACTACGACGACGACGACAGGCGGAGGAGGAGGATGAGGAGGGTGAAGAGGAGGAGAAAGAGGAGGAGGAGATTTTTAGGACCAGTCCTATTCATCGCTGGGAGAAAAAGGGGGAAACCAAAACCAAAGACCTTTAGCGGTTATCAGGAGGGATATTGGAACGGGAGGACGACCTGCAGCATCAACGATGCGCGCTGGGACTCCTCCGAAAGCCTCGGGGAGGTTCCGACAGCCACTGAAGGCCCACAGAACCCTTCCAGACGGATGCCAAGGCCTCCTTGAGACCCGTCGTAATGAAGAACGCGCACAGACGCAGCGTCCTGAAACGTTCACCACCAGAGCCTTAGGCCCCACCTTCGGCGACGAGCCATGGAGAGGGGGCGAAAGGGCGGCGGCCCTCTAAGAAGGCATGGGATCTTCTCAGAAACCCTCTGCCTCCTGCCTGATTTAGGAGACCGCCCCCCTCGCGCCACCTCCTTTCTTCGGGGCTAAAAACGCCGACACCGCCACCATCAGGAACAACAATCAGGCATGGTCTTCCCGGTGGGTGGTCCCCCTGCGTTGCGGCGCACCGCCCGAGACATCTGCAGTCTTCTGCTCGGCGGGGCATCGTGGACCTCCTCGTCCGAGGTGACCCGCTGGTGGTGGTCTCCCTTCTTCTCCCTCCGACTTCACTGATTGGGTGTTGCTAGAAGTGCCCCTGGCCCAAGGTGCCCCCAGGATTTCCAAGGAGGCCTCCACGGCCTCCAGAGCACCCCTCACGAGGCCCAGAGGGCCCCATGGGCTCCAAAATAGACCGAAAAGCTGGGGGCACCTTGGGCCAGGGGCGCCTTTAGCAATTCCCGAACTGGGCATTTCTGCGGCATCTCTCGGGCTGGATCGATCTGGACCCGAAGCTGGGCCAGACCAGAGCCCTGCCTCGATGCTTCCTCCTGCGGCACCTTTCGAAACGGACCGATCTGCGTGCTCCATGCAGGCCGGCTTCCTCGCGGACGTCTCGCCCTGCCGCAGGCACCATGACGACGATGACGACGGCGGCGGCGTGGCGTCGACGACCACGACGACTGAGACGTCGCCGGCGGCGGCGCTTCGACGCCAGAGAGAACTGCGGGCTTTCGGAAGTCGGGCTCGACTTTACAAAGCTTCGTGTCGTCGGAAGTCGACTCCGACGCTGGAAAAAGCAGACGCCACTTGGGATGTGGAAGTCGACTCAAAACGACACGTAACTACGGTGGCAACGATTGCAACGATGGCATCAATGACGACGACAACAACGACGACGACGAGCTCAACGCCCGTCGTGTTGTGTTCGACAGGCCCAGAGCTCAAGGTCCAAGATGGCGCGCCGACTGCGGCAGGGGATCGCTCAAACGGCGACCCGGCCGACCCCTCTCGGAGCCCGCAAAGACGTCGGCGACGATGACAACGACCTCGACGACGCCGATCGACGACAACGAGGACCGACGACGCCGTCGACGACGACGGCGAAAACGACGGCAACAACGACAATCGACGACGACGTCAACAACGACGATAACAACAAAAACAACGACAACATCAAAAACAAGACCTCGGACCTCTCCCGGAGCGCGTCCTGACTGGGACCTCGAGACATATCTGACCGTGGCGACGAGGAGGGCCCTCGAGGGCCAGGAGCATGAGGACATACGAGGACAGGGGGGGAGAAGACGACACCGACCGACGGACGACGGACGACGGCGACTGACGCTCCCACGCTCTCAGGAGGTCCCCAGACCACCAGAGGCCCTTGGAGGCCCCGAAAAGACCCAGAACATCCAGAGGCCTCGACTCTCGACGAAGGGCCGTCGAATCTCGAATCTCAACAACGACGACGACGACGGCGACGACGACGACGACGACGACAACGACGACGTCGACGACGACGACGGCACTTTGACGCAAGAGAGAGAACTGCGGGTTTTCCGCAGCCGGGCTCGACTTTGCAGGACTTCGTGTCTCCGGAAGCCGACTCAGACACTTTAGAACAAGCAAAACGCGACCTGTGAAAGGGGCCCCAGGACACACAAATAAATACACACAAATAAAGATATTCCCCATCTTTTCCCATATTTGCTGGGTTTCTGTCTTTCCCCCCCACTTCCAATGTTTTCCCATTTTTCTGGGGAATCGAAGATGAATTGTGTCTGTGTGATTCTTTTCCTCCTGAACCTTGGACATCGAACTCGACCCAAAAAAACGACGCGCCACTGCGACGACGCGGCCGACGCCCGCGGCGGCGGCGGCCCCTGCGGGTCTCCTGGCGCCCGAAGAGCAGGCGGCGGGGCGAGAGGGCCTGCCGCGCCGCCGCCGCCGCCGCCGCCGTGGTCGTCGCCAGCGTCGCCACCGTTGTTTTCGCGCCGCGCCGCCGCCTGCGCCGCCGCCTCCTCCTCCTCCTCCTCCTCCTCCTCCTCCTCCTCGTCATCCTCCTCCTCGTCCTCCTCCTCCTCCTCGTCCTCCTCGTCCTCCTCGTCCTCCTCGTCCTCCTCCCCCTCCTCCTCCTCCTCCTCCTCCTCCTCCTCCTCCTCCTCGTCCTCCTCGTCCTCCTCGTCCTCCTCGTCCTCCTCGTCCTCCTCGTCCTCCTCCCTCCTCCTCTCCTCCTACACTCCTCCTCCTCCTCCGTCCCTCCTCCTCCTCGTCTCCTCGTCCTCCTCGTCCTCCTCCTCCTCCTCGTCCTCCTCCTCGTCCTCCTCGTCCCTCGTCCTCCTCGTCCTCCTCGTCCTCCTCGTCCTCGTCCTCCTCCTCCTCCTCCTCCTCTCCTCCTCCTCTTCCTCCTCCTCCTCCTCCTCCTCCTCCTCTCGTCCTCCTCGTCCTCCTCGTCCTCCTCGTCCTCCTCCTCCTCCTCCTCGTCCTCCTCGTCCTCCTCGTCCCTCGTCCTCCTCGTCCTCCTCCTCCTCCTCCTCCTCCTCCTCCTCGTCCTCCTCGTCCTCCTCCTCGTCCTCTTCGTCCTCCGTCCTCCTCCTCCTCCCTCCTCCTCCTCCTCGTCCTCCTCGTCCTCCTCGTCCTCTTCGTCCTCGTCCTCGTCCTCCTCCTCCTCCTCCTCCTCCTCCTCCTCCCGTTTACGCGCCGCGTCGCCGCCGTCGTTTTCGCGCCACGCCGCCGCCGGGCGCCACCGGCGCCTTCCACAATTCCAGAGGAAGAAGTGGCGCAGACAGAAACTTTTGGCGCTCCGCGCGGAATTGCGCCGCCGGGGGGCCCAGCGCGGATCCAAGACATCCCTCGCCCCTCGAGGGTCCTCATCGGCGCCATCGGCGCCGTCGGCGCCCTCCACAATTCCAGGAGAAGAAAAAACGGCGCAAAAACAGAAACTTCTAGCGCTCCGCGCGGAACGCTTGGATCCGCCCTCCACACTTCCAGAGGAAGAAAAAACGGCGCAAAAACGAAACTTCTGGCGCTCCGCGCGGAGTGCTTGGACCTGCGCTGGACCCCCCCTCCCTGGCGCGCGGAGCGCGCCAGGGGCGGCGCCGGAGGCGCCGCCGGGGGGGGCCCCAGCGCGGATCCGAGAAATCCCTCGCCCCTCGAGGGCCCTCATCGTCGCCGCGGCCGGATCGGCCTCGAGGTCCCAGGACGCGCTGCAGGAGAAGTCTGGGGCTTTTTTTTCTGAGGTCGTCGACGTTGCCGTCATCGTCGTCGACGTGGTCGGTCGCCGTCGTTGTTGTCAGTAGTCGCGGTCGTCAGCTGTCGTGGTCGTCGTCGTCGTCGTCGTCGTCGTCGTCGTCGTCGTCGTCGTCGTCGTCTCGGAGCTGCAGTGCTGGCCCGTTCGAGAAGCCACGACGGTCGTCGAGGTCGTCGTCGTTGCTGTCGTCGTCGTCGTCGTCGCCGTCTTCGCCGCCGGCGCCTTCGCCGCCGTAGTCGTCTTGGTCGTCGTCGCCACGCCGTCGGGCCTGCGGCAAGGCGTGAAGTCCGCAAGGAGGCTGGCCTGCCTGGAGGCCCGCCGGGCCCAGGAGCCGACGTCGACGTCCTCTGCGAAGAGGCCGCCGAGGCTGGAGTACAGCTCGGCGCAGAAGGCGAGCCTCCTTGGAAGAAACAAGAAGACGCCCGCTTCATGCCCGGCCCATGGCCCAGCCGAGCTCCCGAACGCCGACTCCGGGCGGGCGTTCGTCACGGGGGCCCTGGCATCTGGGCGTCGCGCAAAAAGACACGACTGGCCTCCTCGCCCCCTTTCGGGCCCATTGGCTTTCATTGGCTTTCACAGGTCGATGTGTGGTCCCGCTACGGCGCCAGGAACCAGGAGGACCCCCCTGCATCCAACACCTCCCGCCCCCCAGGCCCAGGGCCTCTCCTGGAGCGCGCCCTGGCCGCGGCGGATCAGGCCGTGGCGGCGAGGGCGGGTGGGGAGGGAGCGGAACAGAGGCGAAAGACCCGTCGACCTCCCCTCGTCGACGCAGCCCTTCCGTCTCTCTGCCCTCGTCGTCGTCGTCGTCTTGGTCCTCGGAGGAACGACGCAGGGCACGATGCAGGCCCTTGCGGTTCTGGGGTCGTACAGCGGGTTCTTCCACCGCCCCTGGTCCGAGAGCAGCTCGGTCCACAAGCAGGGGCCACGGTCGGCCCGCAGCTGCTCTCGCTCGCCCTGGCAGTTGCCCAGAAAGGTGCTGTACCTCCCGCTGTACGAATGGCCCGCCGCAGCGCTCAGACGGCTGGTGTGCGCGTGTCTGTGTGTAAGGGGAAGATGTGTTTAAATACTCAGATATGTAAAACAATCAAGTGTGACTAAAAACTCAAGTGTGATGCCGTCAAATTCTGTAGTAAGGACGCGGTGCAAGGACGCAAGACCCCCTTGGACGGTCCTTGGACGCCCCAGTTGAAGCTTTTCTAGCGGCGCGGTGTCGAACAAATCTAAGCAAGGGTGCCCTAAAAAACTCCAGTTTTTGTTAACATATAGACATACCTATACGACCACCCTTCGGGTGATAAGGAGGTTGTGTGGGTGCCTCCCCCCTCCGGAGCGCCGGCGGGAGGGGCGGGGGGCGCGCGGGGGCGGCAGGGGGGGGAACCAACATCTGACTCAATCGATCTCACTATCGATCTCACTCAACGGGACACCACTGGACACCATGGGCCACCACGGGACACCACGGGACACCGCGGGACACCTCTCGATCTCACCATCGGTCTCACAAGCGATTTCACTATCGATCTCACTCAACGGGACACCATAAGACACCACGGGACACCTCGGGACACCACATCGATCTCACTATCGATCTCACTATCGATCTCACTCAACGGGACACTACGGGACACCACGGGACACCTGTCGATCTCACTATCGATCTCACTCAACGGGACACCATAAGACACCACGGGACACCTCGGGACACCACATCGATCTCAGTATCGATCTCAGTATCGATCTCAGTATCGATCTCACTATCGATCTCAGTCAACGGGACACCACGGGACACCTGTCGATCTCACTATGGATCTCACTATCGATTTCACTTTTTGGGACACCATGGGATACAACGGGACACCTCGGGGCACCACATCGATCTCAATATCGATCTCAGTATCGAGCTCACTCAACGGGACACCACGGGACACCACGGGACACCGCGGGACACCGCGAGCCACCGCCGGACGGTCGGACGGACGGACGGGCGGGGGAGAATCATTTGTCTTGATGTCGCCCTAGCAGCGGCGGACACCACGGGACACCACGGGACACCGCGGGCGAGCAACCGCCGGACGGGCGGGAGGGGGACAATCATTTGTCTGGACTTCGCCCTAGCAACGGCGGACACCACGGGACACCACGGGACACCGCGGGACACCACGAGCCACCGCCAGACGGGCGGGAGGGGGATAATCATTTGTCTTGACTTCGCCATAGCAGCGGCGGGCTCATTCCTCTCGCGCGCCCGCGCAACTTCGCCTCGCCCGCACGCACGACATGAACGAAACGAAACGATTTCCCGGTTGGGTGTCTCCGTTCCACTACGAACACTTAAATGCGAGCGTAACTCGTCACTGCCAGGCCCGCCGCTGCGACCAATCGCAGCGTTGAAGTGAGCAGTGTGTGTGTGTGTGTCGGGTTCTTTCTTCACTCGTTGTGAACGCTTCTTGCGAGGCAGTAGCCAGGCACCCCCCCAATGCGCAAGCACAACGCGCGTTCATTTTCTGTGCCATGCCCGTGCGCCCCTGGCCTTTTCACAAAACATGTGACGTCACAATCAGAATTCCGGATCAGGGGGGTGACGTGCCAGTGAAATCCCCCGTGTGCCATCCCCAGCCCCTAATGTTCCCCAGGCCCCCCTCTTAAGGAGCGCAGTGGCGGATTCGCGCGGCAGCGGAACTGAATACAGCACGAAAGCTAACAACTGTATAGAATATTGGAAGAAATGCGGGTACACCGTCCAGACCTGCGCTACGCAATCGACAAACTGCAGGAATATAGGAGACAGGGCATCCTGGTGAGACCGCTGTTCCTTCCTCGCTGCGAGTCCGTTCCTGTGTGCAAACCTGTGCCCTGGGAGTAGCCAGTCTTTGACGATCAAGTCTGGAAACCCTTGGATAGTGCGGTAGTGCCCATCCAGCAACAATGAGGTAAGGCAGACTATCTGGCTCGTTCGGTCCCAGCCGTCGCTGCAATGCACGACAACGCTCTCCCCACTTTCCATGACCGAGGCTGCGAAACCTGCGCCTTTGATCACAGCGCCGAGGTGGCCAAGCCAACCAGACACGGCGGAGGCGCAGCTGGCGTGATCCTCCTGCTGGCTCATGCCTTTGCGGAAATTCGCCAAGCTCTTCGCCATCTCATGGATGTTGTCGACGTTGAGAAACTCGACATGGCACCCCGCGTAATTGGAGTCCTCGGTCCCTCCGCCCTTGAACCTGTTCGCTTCGGCGTTCACGAACGGCCTTGCATCGCATATTGTCAGCTCTTGGCAGTCGGGGGACGCGAACTTCATCAGTCGCGAGCAGTCCTCGGCGGCGGCGGCGGCCTTGCCGCGACCGAGCGAGGTCCGCGGCTGGCTGCAGCGGACCAGGGCGGCACCATTGCCTGGGTGCAGCCACGCAACGTAAGGGAAACGGTCTTTGATGCGGAAACTGGCGCTTGCCAACACCTCTTCGCGGCTCAAGGACGCCGGAAGAATCACCTCGCGGGGATATGTCGCGCACACACGGTATTCTAGGGGAACAAAAAGTGACACAAACATGAAAACTCGGAGGTCCGCGCGGATTTCTCGGATCGGCGCTGGACCCCCCCCCCTGGCGCGCGGAGCGCGCCAGGGGCGGCGCCGGAGGCGCCGCCGGGGGGCCCCAGCGCCGATCCGAGAAACTCGCGCGGACCTCCGTTTTGTTTTGTTTTGTGTTATATATATATATATATATATATTAAAATATAAAAATGTTCATGCCACTTTTTGTTCCCCTATATTCGGCGTTCAGCGTCGAGTCGACACGCCACTGCTCGCCCGCGCCGTCGTGCGCGCGGGTCCAGCGCTGGAGCTCCGCCACGAGGCTGAAGCTGTACGGGTCGGAGTCCTGGTCGGACTGAGGCCCGTCCACTGCCTCGTGGAAGGTGCTGGCTGGAGGCGCGCCTTGAGGCTGCTCCCCTTGCAGCTCGTGGGCGGGCGAGCTAGCCAATACCGCTGCGAAGCAAAAAGCAAAGGAGAAAGGCGAGCCGGCCACGACCACGCTGGGGCTATCAGAGAGCTTCTTGAAGGCCAACGCTGCCAGCCTCGCGTCGTCGAACCGGAGGAAAATCTGATCTGCCAACTTTGTTAGTATTTCCAGAGTGTTGCTGGAACTGAGGCGCACCTCCTCAATACAGAGAAGGGGTATACTGCAGTGCCTCAGCGCAGCGCCTGGCTGCGGCTGCATGCAGCTGATCCTCAAGCGCAGGGACCCGTTCTTCACGTTGCCCAACAAGACATCCAGCCGCTCGGAGAACTGGCCTTTGCCCTCGGCAAGGTTACACACCTCGGCCTCTCCCATGAAGTCGTCCTTGGAAAATTTGTCTTCGTCATACAGTGCAACGTGGAGCTTCGCGGCAGCGTCGACGTTCTCGAACACGAACGTCTCGTTCCAGACCGGATCCAGAGTCTTGTGCTTCACCGGCGTCCGCTTCGGCACCTGCTGGGTGCGGTGCCCTGTGACGTGCAAGACGGCGTAGGGGTCGGAAAACCCGTTCTTGTCGCAGGGCTTCAGGCCGTGCCCGCTGCAGAGCGTGACGTGGAGAGTCGCGCCAGTGCCCGCAGGCTGGCGAAGGAGCAACCTGTAGTTCGTGATCGTGACCTCAGCAAGCCAGCAACGAAGCTTAGGTCGGGCATGTCCTCCTGCAGGCAGGTTTTGGAGGACAAGTGGAAATAGTCAAACAAACATATCAACAAAAAAAAAACATCAGAAATTGTCGAAATATCGTCCCAAAACTGTTTCTTGCAATTTTTTCCCTTCCGTAGGGGGCATGCCCGACCCAAGACCACGCAGGTGGGCCGACCAGCACCTGCTCAGAATCGGCCCTGGGGTCCCTCCTGCGACTCGCCGTGCCCGGTTCTGCGAGCCGCGTGCGGCCGTGGCGACGAGGAGGACCTCCAGACACGCTCTCGAAAACTCCGAGTCGACGACGACGACGGCGACGACGACGACGACGACGACGACGACGACGGCGACGACGACGACGACGACGACGACGACGACGACGACGGCGCGCATAGGGTCGGGCGTCGCGTATTGGAGGAGGAGGAGGAGGAAGAGGAGGAGGAGTCGGAGGAGTCGGAGGAGTCGGAGGAGGAGGAGGAGGAGGAGGAGGAGGAGAAGGACGACGACGACGACGACTCGGACCTGCACTGGGCGGTTCCGACCCCCCCACGCGGGCGCGAACGCGTCGGCCACGGCCACGCCGCCGGCGCCGTGCAGCTCCGGCGCGGCGGCGGCCTCCCCGGCCAGGAGGGCGCCCTCGTCGAAGGGCACCGCGGGGGCGGCCGCGTCGAAGGTTAAGTCGGGCCTGCCCCACCACAGGCCGATTTTTGACGTTTTTTTTGGGGGGGGGGAAACTAGCCAGGAGGGCGACGAGGGAACGAGGGAGAAGAGGAGGAAGACGAGGCCGAGGGGGAAGCAACGACGACCCCAAAGCGCAGAATTGACGAAACGGGAGGACAGGAGACGAGAGAGGAGGCGACAGAACGACGAGACAGGCCGATTTTTGACGAAAAATCAAAACATAGGTACAACAAATGCCCTAAAATATTCAAGAATGGTCAAAAAAGAAAGGTCCCAAGACTATTTTTCCTATTCTTGAATGTTCCTCCTTTAGAGAGGGACAGGCCCGACTTACGTCGAAGGCGATCGTGGGGCTCCGGGGCCTCAGCGTCATGACCTATCGGACGAGCCCGGCTGACCACGTCGGCGACCCCGGCTGGGCCGATGCTGGGCCCAGGATGGGTGCCGTGGGTGCCCAGGCACCCAGGGACGTGCACATTGCGGGCTTCGGGGGGACGGTTTGACATCAGGAGGGGCAGGCTCCGACGGCCGATGCGTGCTCGCGGCGGCGATCGCAACATCTGTGTGTTATGTCTGTGGCGTGCTGATGTAGCATTTGTGTAGAGGCTAGGCTTGCTCGTCTTCTCGGTGCATGCATCGGCTCTTGGTAGGTCACCTCCCGGCGGAAAAGGATCTGCAGATCCCTCTAAGTTCAACGATCTGCACACCCCTAAACCTACTAGTTAGACACCGATCCTTGGCCCAGGATGGGCCCAAGCAGGATCGGTGATGTGGTCAGTGGACGCCGCCCGGGCCTTCTCATGACGGCGAAGTCCGGGCACGGCAGGCTCGCGCCTCGATGGCGTCGGGGCTGGCTTCCGGCGTCGCGCTTGGGGGAACGAACAGGTACCGGTACCGCTACTCCCCAGACCTCTCCCATTACCAGCCTCGAACTTATCCCTATCCCTGAGATCGACACGCCAAAAGGCGATGACAGTCTTAGGGATTCGCCCTCAAAAAATGAGGGAATCCCTAAGATCGGCATCGTGATGAGGAGATGCCCAGCATAGGGATAGGGACATGTTCCAGGCTGGTAATCCCAGGATGCGTTCTGACCAGAATTTCGAGGCGAATCCAGCGGTGGCGACGAGGGCCTCCCAGGAGGCCCCCAAAAAGGGAAAAACGGCCGAAGGGGTAGAGGTATGGGTACCTTTTCCTCCCCTGAGCGTTGGCCGTTTGGCCGCGAACGATCTCGGCGGCCTCCCACAACTGGCCATCGCTCGAACGTCCGTTCCCTTTGCTTTTTTCGGTTTCGTGCGTGGTTTTTTCGCGAAATGATCAAGGATGCTCCTCGATAGTCCTCGCCGAAGGAAAAATGCACACGTCCGAGCGATGCCAAGACAGCGCGCGTCGCTCCTCGTGGCTCGATCCTAGGCCACTGGCGGCGCTCAGTGTCGACCGCCCGCGCTGGGGTCGCCGCCGCGCCCGCGCGGTGCGAGCCTGCCGTGTGGGTGGGCGTGCCGGCGGGGTCCCTGTGATCTCTCCGGGAGCGGCCAAGAGGGGGGTGTCCAAGAGGGGGGGGTGCAAATCATGGCCGGCGGCATGTGCGCGGCCCGGCGGGGGGACCGGGACCGCATTGAAATAAGAAGAGGCGCCATGAGATCTGGGGAAGTATCATGCCCCCCGCCATGATATCCCCCCCCCCCTAGTCATCACCCCCCTCTTTTCCGCCCCCGATCTCTGGCAGCCGCCGATCACGCGCCGGTGGCAGGCTGGCAGTGCCTCCCCTGTGCACACCTGAGCAGAGGGAAGCGCTGCCACTGCTCGATCCAATATGGCTGCGTTCGCCATGGGTGAGGGGGGGCCGCTGGGGCACACAAAGAAGTAAGTACACAGCAAAGCCCAGGGTCCCCTATACTTTCCCACATTTTCTGGGTCTTCGTCTTCCCCCCCACACTGCCCATGTTTTCCCATGTTGTCCTGGGAGTCGACGATTAATTGTGTCTGTGTGTGTTTCTCCCCCTCCCGAATGGACGCATGGGGGAGGGGCGAGGGAACCGGAGGTTCAGGGAGGGTGGGCAGCCTGAGCCAGGAAGCACAAGATATGCAGAGTACTTGCACGAGGCGCTTGGAAGGCGTCGTCGAGTATGACTGATGTGCATCAAGATATGGGCAGTATCCTAAACAATGTCTTTCGTTTTCGTTTAGTTTTCGTTTTTCGTCGTTTTGGTTTAAAATCGCCTGTGCTGCAAAACGACATCGAAACGACAAACGGCCCACGACACCTCCAAAACACCGTTTAGGTCCACCCCTGACCAGCATATGGGCATCATCCCAACGGCTGCTGTGCCCGAACAGATGGGCTGAACTATAATGTACGTGCACAAGCGGAAATCGATCGCTCACGACTGACGCTGCCACTTCCGTGACCTCTGGGGCACTAGCTCGAGCTGATCTTACCTGCGCGACGTTCGTCCCAGCCAGGATCGAGTTGCCGATCCGCCACCATGCCCGCACGATCTGGAGCGTTAGAATGCTAAATCGTGGTCTGGTAAGGCTTCTGTAATTCTCTGATTGTCGAGGGCTGCCCGCCCCTCCCTCGTTCGCTTCGTGCCCAGAAGCCGCCCCAGCCTGTTTTGCCAACAGACGATTGCAAGACTGCCCGATATTGCTCCAAAGCGACTGTGAGATGCCCGGCGACAAGCCGCCTAAGACGGCCCAATGATCCGACCCCCTAGAGAATCCACGAGGTCGCCAATGTGCTCCGAGAGGTTCCAAGAAGCCGTCAAAAGACGCCTCTTCGTGGCCTCCAGCAAGGCCACGAAGAGGCCAGACACAATGAAAGACCCAAGTGGAGCCAATGCGCTTTGGGTCCCGAAAAAAAAGCATCCCTTAAATGGCCCAAGATGGCATCAAGACTGTACGAGAACTCTCCGAGACGGCCAAAGGGGGCCTAAACCGCCCCCGAGAGTGTTCAACCGAGCATCGCCAGGAAAACTCGAACAACGAGCCCCCAACAGGCCCTCAAGAGGCCCAGAGAAGCCTTCAGTTTGCCTTGAAATGGGGAGCGGGAGGGAGAATCTTGTTGTGCTCCTCCTATCGATGCCGGCAGTGCCAGCTGCAAGAAAGGGGGAGGAGGAACCATCAGAGAGGATGAGGATGAGGATGAGGAGGAAGAGGAGGAGGAGGAAAAGGATGAGAGGAGAAGGAGGGGACAGGAAGAAGAGGAGGAGGAAGAAGAGAAAGAGGAGAGGAAACTGCACCTGCGGACAAGGAGCAGGCGTCTAAGACCCTGGGCAGTTCTGACTTGCAGTGAATTTCAGCGGGACTTAACCTCGACCTCCTTTCTGCGATGCTGCTGCGCGGTGATAAAGATATGGGGTTTGCTGCAGGCAGCTGCTTACAAGAGGAATTGTCGGTAATAGGCGTCATAGCTGATATAGGCGGCTCCCAGAGAGGCCGTCGGCAACAATCCCCGAACTGCCATCATCCATGGCACCCGCGAGTACGATAAGAGACGAACCTCATTGGTTCGAGGCGAACGTGGTGACGATCTGCGGTTTACTTTACAATCTCAGCAAGCTGAAGTTTACCTGTGTGGTCCCCACGCATTGACTCCTGGCGCCCTGGGTCTGTATGCTGTGTTATCAAAACTACGTGGTTCAAGCTCTATGGCGCAAGCCAGATGGTGCAATCTAAAGGCGCAAGTGATGTGGTGCAAACTCCGCCGGCCCCCTTGTGGGGCCACCAGGCTGTGGGTCGAAGGTTCGCAGTTTCCTGTGCCAGTTGCAGCTTCCAGGTTCCACTGTTGCAGTTCTGCTTCTTGCTGCTTACTGTTCCTTGTCGATGGACCGCGCGAGGGGGGGAGGCCCAAACGGGCAGGTTTAGCACGCCTGAGCGTGTTGTCTGAATTGCTGGGGTGGCTAACAATTAAAACCTCTCACGCAGATCGGCGGGGTCAGGGTCCAAAAACAAATGGGATTTGCCACATTTCTGTGGCACCCCTCACGCAGATC